TTTGTATTTTTTGTAGAGACGGTTTGCCATGTTGGCCAGGCTGGTCTCGAACTCTTGACCTCAAGAGATCCGCCCACATCAGCCTCCCAAAGTGCTGGGATTACAGGCATGAGCCACCGTGCCTGGCCATAGGTAGTATTCTTTTATCTTTACAATCACTGCTCTTTCTATAGTTAGGTCTGCTTTTTCATTCTAATTTTACTTGTGCTTTCTCTTGTTTTCTTTATCATTCCTATCAGAGGTTTGCCTATTTCATTTGCTTGATCCTAGAAAACAACTCTTGGCTTTATTGATCCTCTCTAATTTATCTTTGTCTACTATTTATTATTTATTTATTTATTTATTTTTGAGACAAAGTTTGCTTTGTTGCCCAGCTGGAGTGCAATGGTGCAATCTCGGCTCACTACAACCTCCACCTCCTGGGTTCAAGTGATTCTCCTGCCTCAGTCTCCTGAGTAGCTGGGATTACAGGCACCCACCACCACACCCAGCTAATTTTTGTATTTTTAGTAGAGATGGGGCTTCACCATGTTGACCAGGCTGGTCTCGAACTGCTGACCTCAGGTGATCCACCAAAGTGCTAGGATTATAGGCGTGAGCCACTGTGCCTGGCCTTACTATTTCATTTTGGCATTTATGTTTATTATATGCTTCCTTCTTTTTTTTTTTTTTTTTTTTTTTTTTGAGACGGAGTTTTGCTCTTGTTGCCCAGGCTGGGTGCAATGGCGCGATCTTGGCTCGTTGCAACCTCCGCCTCCCTGGTTCAAGAGATTCTCCTGCCTCAGCCTCCAGAGTAGCTGGAATTACAGGCATCCACCACCACGCCCAGCTAATTTTTTGTATTTTTAGTAGAGATGGGGTTTCATTATGTTGGCCAGGTTGGTCTCGAACTCCTAACCTCAGGTGATCCACCTGCCTCAGCTTCCCAGAGCACTGGGATTACAGGCATGAGCCATTGTGCCCGACCACTTCCATCTGTTTTCTTTTTTCTTTTTTGAGACCTGGAGTCTTACTCTGTTGCCCAAGTTCATTGCGCCACTCTGGAGTGCAGTGGTGCGAACTTGGCTCACTGCAATCTCTGCCTCCCAGGTTCAAACAATTCTCCTGCCTCAATCTCCTGAGTAGAGTAGCTGGGACTACAGGCTTGTGCCACCATGTCTGGCTAATTTTTTGTATTTTTAGGAGAGAAGGGGTTTCACCGTGTTAGCCATGATGGTCTGTATGTCCTCACCTCGTGATCAGCTCACCTCAGCCTCCCAAAGTGCTGGGATTACAGGAGAGAGCCACCGTGCTCGCCTCTGTTTTCTATGAGTTTGTCCTGTTCTTTTTTTTTTTTTTTTTTTTTTTCTGGAGACAGAGTCTCGCTCTGTCGCCCAGGCTGGAGTGCAGTGGCCGGATCTCGGCTCACTGCAAGCTCCGTCTCCCGGGTTCACGCCATTCTCCTGCCTCAGCCTTCCCGAGTAGCTGGGACTACCGTCGCCCGCCACCTCGCCCGGCTAGTTTTTTGTATTTTTTAGTAGAGACGGGGTTTCACTGTGTTAGCCAGGATGGTCTCGATCTCCTGACCTCGTGATCTGCCCGTCTTGGCCTCCCAAAGTGCTGGGATTACAGGCTTGAGCCACCGCGCCCGGCCTGTCCTGTTCTTTATCTGACTTTTTAAGTTAGAATAGCTCAATCCTCCAGCATTAAAAATGTTTCAATATAAGCATTCTGAGGCTACAACTTGCCCTTGAAATACCACTTTGGCCTTCTCCCACAGGTTTTGTTCTGTATTTTCATTATTGGTCAGTTACAAAACATCTTTAAATTTTCATTATGATTTATTTGACAATACATTTATTTAGAATGGTGTTTTAAAATTTATAAATCTGTATTTTTTTTAAACTTTAAGATTTTTTTTGAAATGCACATACACAGGAAAATACATAAAACATATATTTACAGTGTAATAAATTAGAAAGCAAACACCCATATAACCACCCCAGATTTAAAAATAAATAAATAAAATAGGCTGGGCGCGTGGCTCATGCCTGTAATCCCAGCACTTTGGGAGGCTGAGGCTGGCAGATCACCTGAGTTCGAGACCAGCCTGACCAACATGGAGAAACCCTGTCTCTACTAAAAATACAAAATTAGCCAGGCTTGGTGGCACACGCCTGTAATCCCAGCTACTCGGGAGGCTGAGGCAGGAGAATTGCTTGAACCCAGGTGGCGGAGTTTGAGGTGAGCTGACATCACGCCATTGCACTCCAGCTTGGGCAACAAGAGCGAAACTCTACCTAAAAAAAAAAAAAAAAAGGCGCGGTGGCTCACGCCTGTACTGTAATCCAGCACTTTGGGAGGCCGAGATGGGCGGATCGCAAGGTCAGGAGATTGAGACTATCCTGGCTAACACTGTGAAACCTCGTCTCTACTAAAAATACAAAAAAATTAGCCGGGCGTGGTGGTGGGCGCCTGTAGTCCCAGCTACTTGGGAGGCTGAGGCAGGAGAATGGCGTGAACCTGGGAGGCGGAGCTTGCAGTGAGCTGAGATCCGGCCACTGCACTACAGCCTGGGCAACAGAGCGAGACTCTGTCTCAAAAAAAGAAAAAAAAAAAGAGATTATCATAGCTGAGAAGCTCTCAGGGTTCTTACTCATAGCCCTCTCTCTGGCAGAGATGACTGCATTCTTGACTTTTGAGATCCATTTTCTTTTTTCTTTTTTTTTTTGAGACGGAGTCTCGCTCTGTCTGCCCAGGCTGGAGTGCAGTGACGCCATCTCGGCTCACTGCAAGCTCCGTCTCCCAGGTTCACGCCATTCTCCTGCCTCAGCCTCCCGAGTAGCTGGGACTACATGCACCCGCCACCATGCCCGGCTAATTTTTTTTGTATTTTTAGTAGAGACGGGGTTTCACCGTGTTAGCCGGGATGGTCTCAATCTCCTGACCTTGTGATCCGCCCGCCTCAGCCTCCTAAAGCGTTGGGATTCCAGGTGTGAGCCACCACACCCGGCCTTTTTTTTCTGAGACCCAGGTGACATGATGGTGTCACTCTGTCACCCAGGCTGGAGTCCAGTGGCACGATCTCTGCAACTGCCCCCTCCCGGATTCAAGCGATCCACCTGCCTCAGCCTCCTGAGTAGCTGGGATTACAGGCGCAAGGCAACACACCTGGCTGTTTTGTATTTTTGGTAGAGACAGAGTTTCACCATGTTGCTCGGGCTGGTCTGGAACTCCTGAGCTTAAGTGATGCACCCGCCATGGCCTCCCAAAGTGCTGGGGTTACAGGCATAAACCACAGCTCCCGGCTCTATTTTCTTTATAGGCTTACCATCTATGTAGGCATCGCTAAACAATGTCAATTAGTTTTACCTGTGTTAAACTTCATATGCACATAATCATACCAGTATACACATCTTTGTGTCTTGGTTCTTTCATTCAACATGTCTGTGGGATTCATCCTTATTGTTATGTGAGCTGTGATTTGCTCATTTTTATTGTTGAATAGTATTTCAATGCGTAAGTATACTACTGATTCTTTGGTCCACTGAGGAGGGACTTCTGGCTTATTTGCTGTTTTTGTTTGTTTGTTTGTTTGTTTCCGAGATGGAGTATTGCTTTGTCACCCAGGCTGGAGTGCAGTGGCACAATCTTGGCTTACTGCAACCTCTGCCTCCCGGATTCAAGTGATTCTCTTGCCTCAGCCTCTCGAGTAACTGGGACTACAGGCGCCCGCCACCACGGCTGGCTAATTTTTGTTTTTTCAGTAGAGGCGGGGTCTCACCATGTTGGCCAGGCTGGTCTCAAACTCCTGACCTGAAATGATCCACCCACCTCAGCCTCCCAAAGTGCTGGGAATACAGGCATAAACCACCGTGCCTGGCCTTTTTTTTTGAGTTGCTCTGTTGCACCAGTGCAGTGGCATGATCTCAGCTCACTGCAACCCCCACAGCCCAGGTTCAGTGATTCTTCTGCCTCAACTTCTTGAGTAGCTGGGATTACAGGCGCACAACACCATGCCTGGCTAATTTTTGTATTTTTTTAGTAGAGATGGGGTTTCACCATTTTGGCCAGGCTGACCTAAAGTGATCCATCTGCCTCAGCCTCCCAAAGGGCTGGCATTACAGGTATGAGCCACCACACCAGGCCTGCCTGTTTTTTTCATTACCTGGCTGGCCTCTATGGGTTGAGTTTGACATCTCTGGAAACCATTCAGGGTAAATCTCTCTTCTTAGATACTTCTATATACTAAGAAAGCCTAGGCTTGAACTGCAACAGAATAATGACTGCTAAACAGAAGGAGTAACTTCCCAACTATTTAAAGTGCAATATCCCAATATGGGTTTTGGAAAGGGGTGGGAGGCCTGGATTTGAAGAGGGGCCAAGCTGTGGGGAAGTAAAGAGCATGAGGGGAGGACAGATGAAGCCTGCCCTTGGTGTGAGGACTCTTGACGTGATTCCAGGGTCAGGATTCCTGTCATCCATCTGCTGGCCCTTTGGACCACTCGGCCACTGGCATGCTTTCCAAGTCTGTATCCATGAGTGGCATCAACTGTCTCTTGGACTGGTCGGATCCAGATGGTGAGCAAAAGTAGGGAGCAAAGCAGGGGTGGCCCCTTCCCCTATACATCTCGTTGCCACTCCTCATAGCTAGCTGTTTAGGGTTCAGATGTCCTGGATTATGTTTAGCCACATACCCTTGGAATCCCTAGAATGGCTTTTTTCTTTTATCTTTTTTTTTTTTTTTTTGAGACCGAGTCTCACTGTGTCGCCCAGGCTGGAGTGTAGTGGCGCAATCTTACCTCACTGCAACCTCTGCCTCCTGGGTTCAAGTGATTCTAGTACCTCAGCCTCCTGAGTAGCTGGGACTATAGAAGCGCACCATCACACCCGGCTAATTTTTGTATTTTAGTAGAGAAAGGGTTTCACCATGTTGGCCAGGCTGGTCTGAAACTCCTGAGCTCAAGTGATTCACCTGCCTTGGCCTCCCAAAGTGCCGGGATTACAGGCGTGAGCCACCATGCCTGACCTCAGAATGGCTTTATTCAAATGAGCAATCTGAATTCTGGATTTTGGCATTCTGAAACTCCTACCAATGAAAGCGGACATAGGACATAGTGAGGTTCTCCAGCCTTCCCTGTTACCAGAGATGGAGGACAGTTACCTGCAATGTACCTTGTCCTCAGATGGAGTATTGGGAGCTCTGGGTGAAACCTCTGATACATCAGTCTCCCAGCCACCGTCTCCACATGACCCTGGTGCTCTGTTCCCCTGGATAACCCTGGTGCTGTGTTCCCATGGCTCCTAAATTCTTCAGCTCTGCCCTGCTTAGACCCCGCCCCCTCTCCCTGCTGCCCACTGCCCGCCCTCAGGAATGGCGTCACATGCACCTGCAGCTTGGGAACCTGATCCAGGTGAAGCGGGTGGGGGAGGAAGCCCTGGGCGCCTTTGTCTGGCTTTAGCTAGACACTTTTCGTCTCCTTTTGTGTTGGCAGGGAATTTATCCCAGTCCTCTGCCATTGACCTCGGGAAACGGTGAGTGTGGGGGACTCAGAATCCTTCAAAAGCCTCTATAGGGGAAGAGCAATAAGGTCTAGGCCATGGTTTTGTAGCCCCAGGGGTCTCCCTGCTTCCTGAATCATTCCTCCCCATAACATTTCTGATCTAAGACCTCCAAATATCCTTCCCTGAGCTGCATATAATTCACCCTCTTTTCTTTGGTTTGGGTGGGCTCACCAGGTTCCCGGTAGCTGCATGAGACCGGGGGAGAAATTAGGGAAAGAAAAGGAGTATCCAGGGCACAGGGTGTCCATTGAATAACAGAGCATGGGAATTGCTTGCTGTTGTCAGTGGTATAGGGTGAAAGGGCAGATAGACTGTTGAACAGTCTTAGTGAGGAAGAGTGACCAAGGACCATGGATCAGTTTAGGATGGCTCAGATAATAGACCAATGGGGATTGGCCCTAAGGAGGGCTGGGCAAGGGCTGTGGAGCTCCCAGCAGAGAGGGCAGGGCCTGAAGGCAGAGTTCAGGTCTGGAAGTGGAGGCTGGGAGATTTGAATAACTATGTAAATAAGCATGCAAAATCAGCACCTGCTTATTTGGCTCCTATGGCTGAAGCCTGATTAGAGTGGGTCAGCCCTCTAAGACAGTGTGGATGTGTAAGCAAGTAATGGTCCCTTTAAGATATCAGGCTCTGCTTTGTGGTCCTGAAAATCTCTAGCTGACACATCCTCCTGGCTCTGGGTTTGGGATTAGCTCATGGGATGGGGCTGATGAAATCCCAGGAAATTCAGTCCTTATTGGCTTTAGGCCCAGAGGCCTTCTCCAAACAGCAGAGAGGGTCGTACACAGGGCTCTTGTTCTGAGAGGAGAAAATGCCCCTCGGGAGAGCCCCCACCCCATACCACTTCCGTTGGGGAGCAGCATGAGAGAGGAGACTGGGCCTCCCATCCTGAGCCTGGATTAGGTAGGAAGGAGGAGTCTGTATTTATCTGGGTGGAGCCTGGAGTTTTCTTCCTAAATAGAGGGGCTTGGGAAGCTGAAATGCCCACATCCAGGAAGTCCTAGGAGGTCAGGATGGGGGCTTATCTTTCTCTCCCAGTCCTTCCTCTTTCTTCCTTCCCATTCTGGCTCTGCTGGTCATGGATCCTTCATCCAGCATCTCTCAGGAAGTATCTTTTTCTTCATTTCCAGCATTACCTCCATCTTCTCATGTCTTCTTTTTCTCTCTGCAGCTGCAGCCAGCTGGAAGGACATTCAGGTACCTGGGCAGGCTCCTCCCTGCGACGGACCTTCAGCTTCCTCTTGGGAATGACTGGAAAGGCCAAGGTAGGAGTCAGCTGGGGAAGCAGGAGGCTTGGGACCCACTGCCCTCCCCAGTTCCTTTTCTCCCATCCCACCATCGCCACCTCCCACCACTCCCCCTATTGGAAACTCAGAGCAATGGTTCCATTTTTTTATTTTTTTATTTTTTTAAGAGGGGGGGGTCTCTGTCTCCCAGGCTGGAGTACAATGGCACGATCATAGCTCACTGCAGCCTCTAACTCTTGGGCCCAAGCAATCCTCTTGCCTTGGCCTCCCAAAGTGCAGGGATTACAGGTGTGAGCCACTGTGCCCAGCCAAATGCTTCAAATTTTAAGGGAACACATGCTATCTCTTCCAGCCTGTATCTCTGTGTCCCAGCAAATCACCTTTTCTCTGCTTTCCCCTACGCCTCCAGCTTAGCAGTCAGCTGTGGACAGCTGGAAGGGGAAAAGGGCCAGGAACCTCAGAAGCTGAGAAATGGCCTAGCCCTCCCTCTCTTCAGGCCTCACATAGCTGACAGGTGGGCAGCAGAAACCTCAACCATTGGACATAATAATGATAATAATTACAGCACTACTTTTTACTTCTTCATAGAGTATCAGGGTTTGCTAAGTGCTTTTACACTCATAATTTTATGGGTGGATACAGCAGCTGAAGGAGATGAAATCAGACCACAGGCAGAGTAGAAGCTGGGAAAGTATATGATTATGGAAGCACATGCATACCCGTACGTGTGCGGCCATGTGCTGTTCTGATCCCAGGAAGCAAAGGCACATTGTTCTCATCCTTATTACAAACCTTCGGGCTCTAGTGAAACCGGGAGCTCTGCCTACTCCTTGAATTCATTTCCACTTTCTTCATTTACTGTCAGAGTGAGCTGCCCCCCTTTTCCTCCCCTGGCCTCTCCAAGTATGCATGTGCTTTCCAACTTGGGGTGGCTTCTGAGTATTGAAAGAAACCCCAGGGAAGTCATCATCATATTCACCTTGAAGAGCCATGAGATTCTCACCAGTAAGTTTGCCTGGGCTCCTCCCAGCCCCACCCGCAGTGCCAGGGTTCTCCCCCTTCCAGCCTTTTTTGGCCAAGATTCCCTTTTCTCTGGGTGGGCTGGGAAGGTCAAAATGAAAGCAGGTCATGTTGTTAGCACCTCTCACCACAGGCCATGGGTGGGGAGTTGAGTCCGATGGAGGCATGAGACTGGGTGAGCCTCAGAAGAGGAGCAGCTGGAGAATCTGAAAGCTGATGGGAAGGGAGGGCAGGTGGGACAGTGAGGTTTCTCTCCCATGGGGGAACGGAGATCTTGAGGGAACAAAGCAAAAACAGAAACTTGGGGTCTGAGTCTCACCTTCCTACAGGCTGTCTCACTACAAGGTAGGGGAGTCTGCTAGTGGAATCACCCCCTTTTCTTGCCGTGGGAATGGTAGGGGAAGTCAGTACTGCCCAGGGGCCATCCAGATCCCAGTTAGTCTGTGTTTGTCCACCCTTGCCCTAACAGTCTGATGGAGGGTTGAGTAACCTGGTGAAGGGGAATGAGGGCAGAGACTTTGGAGCCCAGATGGGGAACAGGGAAGTGCCAGAGTGAGTCAGGACATTGCCTCGCTCAGCCTTTCCTCCCCACGTCTGTGGTCCTGTCTTCCTTTGTTTCCCTCTCTGCCATCTCCTGGTCCATCTTCTTTCCACCTTCATGAATATGTGGGCCTGCTTCATTTAATCTCTTTCTCCATAAGCAGTAAACATCAGGGGGTGGGGCTGGAGAGAAGCTCAGTCAAGCAGTGAGAAAAGGAAGTGGCTTAGTCCCTCCTACTTGAGTGGCATTGCACACTTGATGAAACACTTTCCAGGGGTCAGCTCATTTAATTCTTTTTTTTTTTTTTTTTGAGACGGAGTCTCACGCTGTTGCCCAGGCTGGAGTGCAGTGGCGCGATCTGGGCTCACTGCAAGCTCCGCCTCCTGGGTTCCCGCCATTCTCCTGCCTCAGCCTCCTGAGTAGCTGGGACTACAGGCGCCCGCCACCGCGCCCGGCTAATTTTTTGTATTTTTAGTAGAGACGGGGTTTCACTGTGGTCTCGATCTCCTGACCTTGTGATCCGCCCGCCTCGGCCTCCCAAAGTGCTGGGATTACAGGCTTGAGCCACCGCGCCCGGCCAGCTCATTTAATTCTTATAACAATTCTGGCAAAGATAAGTATTTCAATCTCAATTCTACAGACAAATACTTAAAGGTTAGTTACTTTGCCCAAGATCTCACAGCTCATAAGAGGTGGTGCCATATTAGAAACCCAGGGCTTTGGCTCTGTATTGCCTCTGTTTCTCTCAATAGCCCTAACACAACAGTTCATTCCCTCTCATCCTTTCCTTATTCCAGCTTCTGGCTGGATGGCCACTTAAGGCAATTTGGCCTTAATCACCTCTTCCCAGATTATACAAGGTCCAGACCAATAGAAGAAAGAAGAAAAACAAATCACCTTGGGACAGTGTAGACCTTGGGCTTGGGTATCCCCAGGAGACCCATCTTTTCACCAACTGGCCAAGACTTTGGCAACCAGGTTCTTCCCTGGGACCTCCTCCCTATCCCTGAAATGGGAGGGACACATTTCGTCAAGTTAAATGGGCTAAAGAAGGTGGTGGCTATTTTTAGATCCTGGTATAAATGTTTGTTTTTGTGTATCTAAAAAAATTATTTCTGAAAATCCAGAAGATATCACTGGATAGGAGTAGAGGGGAGGCCGGAATGAAGAAGGGGCTTGGAAAAGCGGGGCAGGTGACACCAAGGGGAAGGGAAAAGTGTTCATTGTTCAAGAGGATATAGAAAATGGAAACTGAGTCAAGCTGCAGGCCAAGCTCACTAAACACAAGTGTTTTTAAAGGCAGAACACTTTTCTTTACCCTGTCCCTAGTCCCTTTCCTTGCTATTCATCTCCTAAGGGGAAGAAGAGGGCACAGGGTGAGGGGTAGGGTAACAGCAGGGGGATGGAAAGTAGACTGAAGGTTGGGGTGGGAGACAGAAAAGGGTTTGAGGGTCGGGTCCTCTTCTTTCTTTTTTTTTTTTTTTTTTTTGAGACGGAGTCTTGCTCCGTCGCCCAGGCTGGAGTGCAGTGGCCGGATCTCAGCTCACTGCAAGCTCCGCCTCCCGGGTTCACGCCATTCTCCTGCCTCAGCCTCCCGAGTAGCTGGGACTACAGGCGCCTGCCACCTCGCCCGGCTAAGTTTTTGTATTTTTAGTAGAGATGGGGTTTCACCATGTTAGCCAGGATGGTCTCGATCTCCTGACCTCGTGATCCGCCCGTCTCGGCCTCACAAAGTGCTGGGATTACAGGCTTGAGCCACCGCGCCCGGCCCATAGAGACCTTCTTAGTTGAGTTGAGGGACCGTGAGGTCCCTTGGAAAACCCCCAGGGTTCAAATTCTACGTTTCCTGGGTACCCAGGCTGGAGTGTGGCCCTTTAAGATTCTATCCATAGCTTGCAGCACTCTCCTGCCCCAGGCCTGGGAGAGAAGCTGAGGTCCCACCCCAGATCTTGTCTCTGGGCCTCCTGTGGGTGGAGCCTTGAGGCCAAGATTCTAGCCTCTGGCTGTCTGTTTTTAAATTTAGTACATTCCTGAGTCTTGGCTGCCCACCTCGAGGGAGGTGAGTCTGGAGTTCTGGGGCCAGGAGCCTCAGGACTCTTGGTTTGGGGGAGTTCCTACGCCCTCCCTGTAGGTAGGTATCCTTGGCAGGTGCAAGCCGGGAAGAACCAGCTATGGCCCTGGGAAAGTCCTTCCTGCTTTCTAATTTTCATCTAGCCTGAACTGGGCATGGTTTATTTCCTCTCCCTTTTTCCTGGTCTTTGCTATTTAAGGATCCTAAACAGGGGAATGGGTGAAGAAAGAGGTGAAGAAGGAGTTGCTAGGCAGGAGGGGAAGCTGGAGGGGCAGTGTAGGGGTAGTGCTGGGGGTGAGGAGCCTAACCAGCTCAGCCAGTGGTGAGGCAGTGGAGCCCAAAAATAGTGGCAGAGGCTAAAATTGGCACCTATGAGAGTGCTGAGTTGGGCTTGAAACCTGCAGCCTGGCCCCACTGCTGAGCCAGGGCAGGGAGCTGCTGGATCTGGGTTGGGTCTCCCCTCCCTCCCTTCTTCTCCCATGCCCTTTGGGGCCAGAATCAGGCAGGACCCTGTTAACCGAAGGCTCTGTCCCAGGCCTCTCTGTGCTTCTAGTTTCTCCTGAGAAACGGGAGACCCTGAGAGGCAGAAATGAACTTCATTGTAAGTGATCATAGTTAAACTGGAGGAGGAATTGTCCCAATAGCAGGAAACTCACCCAAAGTGGCGGCTGGCTCAGGCTGGGGAAAAGGGTCCAGAGAGATGAATGCCCCACCTTACCCTGCTTCTTGTGGAGAGGCTGGTTGGGCCCTAACTTTCTTTGACTAGGGCAGGCTGGTTTCTGGTCTTTCAGTTTCGGCTTAACTTGCAACAGAGAGAACTGGAGTTAGACACATGGAAGGCCTTCGGTAAAAGTGGAGAATCCCAGCCTAGTCCCCCAAAGTAGCTGGCAGAGGCGGAGCTAGGAGGAGGATGGGCAGAGTGGGGTCCGGAAGGCCCCAGAAGGGTGGGGCAATTGGGAGAATTCTCTTCTCTCTATTCTTCGACCTCTGCGAGTGAATCCTACCCTTCCCGTGTACTGGTGTACTGAAGACCCAGCGTTTAGTTCTTCTCTGATTTCCTCTCTCTCTGGCCACACCTGCCCCAATCGTAAAAGGGGGTCAGTCTGCTCAGGCCTGCTTTGATGGGACCCCCAAGGCCAGGAAGGAACTGGTCTTGGGTTCTCCAGGAGCTGGAGGCGAATGGAATCCTCCTGCCTGCGGGTCTTTAAAGACTGAGGTAACGCAGTGGGGGAGGGAGAAAAGGAGGGGGAGGGGAGAAGGGAAGAAGGGGAAGGGAGAGGGGAAAGGGCCGACCTGGGTCCGGCTAGGGCTGCCGGGCTGGGTTTTAGGAAAAGCAGAGCTAAGAGGCGGGTATCTGGGGCTAGAGGGCGCCCCCAGGCGCTGGAGGGGAAATGGGCAGTGGGGCCCCTCAAACCTGTCCTAGGACCCTCGTACCTCTCCGAGCTGCCCCCACACAAACCCTGGCGTCCCGTCCTGCGCGCCGGCACCCCGCCCTCCCTCCGCTCCGCCTCCCCCCTTCCTGAGCTTGGGCGGGGGAGGAGACTAGGGTTTGAGGAACTGGTGCTGGGTGCCGGGCGAGGGGAGTCAGACTTCCTGTCCCCGAGACCAACGCGTGCGGGCCGGACCCCTCCCCCCGCCCTCCCCCCAGAGTAGCCGGACGCCGGGGTCCGCGCCGTGTCCTCCCTGGTCCCCCAGTCCGATTATGTCTCGGATCGAATCCCTCACGCGGGCACGGATCGACCGGAGCAAAGAGCTGGCGAGCAAGGTGGGCTCGGAAACCCCTCTCCCTCCGCCGCTGTCCTCGGGGGCTCCCCGAACCTCGGCACCCGCGGTGCATCCTCTGTCTCCCCGTCTGCTTTCTGGGCGCCAAAATCGGGCGGAGCGGTGGATCGGCAAGCGGCGGGACGGGGTGGGTGGGGACTGCGAGCAAGTGGGTAAGGGTGGGGGGAGCGGCAGACGCGACGGTGCTGGGATCCCGGGAGGGAGCGGAGCGGACCTGGGCTTGGTCGCCTCGGAGCCGGCGGGACCGAGTGCTTTAGGCCGCTTGAAAGAAAGTTGCTCCGGTAAGGGACAGAGCGGGAAGAGGGAGGTGTGTGTCCCGGGGGTGGGGGCGGTGGAAGCTCCGGCACCTCCTCTCCCCCCGGGCCCTACCGGCTTGGCCTTGGCGTAGCGACCCCCCTCAACCCCCAGTCGCTGGCTTGGTCGTTCCCCCTTTGTCCCCGCCATCCGGCGGAGGGGACGGGAGGGGGTGGTTTCCCGGCTTCCTCCTACCACCACCACCACCTCTCCAAGACAAAAGTCAGCTCCTCCTCTCCTCGCAAATGGACTTTCCAGCTGTGATTCAGTTCTCCCCTCTGGGTGGGCGGGTGGTTGGGGTCGGGACGGCCGAGGGACGGCTTACTTCCCCCAAGCCATCACCTCTAGGTGAAGGGAGCAGAGGTCTTTGTGTAGCTGGGATCCTTTCCTCCATCCTTAGCACTTCTGCCTGGAACATAGGGCCTCCATCCCTATCTGCCCCGCCAGCCTCCTAGCTCCTCTTTCTCCCAACCTGAAACCCTTAGGCTGACCCACCTGGCACTATGCATTGTGTTCCCTGACCTTCCTCCTCCTCCCCCAGCTCTCTCATTCTCTCATCTGCTCGTCTTGGGGTCCCTTCACCTAGCATTTCATGAGTCTGGGTGTATAGTTATCCACACTCCTCCCCCATCATGACCTCTTGGCCACTCCTCTCCAAGTACCCTTTATCCCTGCCTTTGTACCAGCCCCATTCCCAAGTGCCCTGACCTTTCCACACCCAGACCCCAGGAAATGACGAAGCTGACTTGCAGGTGAATAAGTCAGAGCTGAAAGGAAGGTGGTGCCTGCAGACAGCACCTCCCAGCTCCTTTAGGGCCCCCCCGCACTGTACCCATTATCAGAAAGGCCAGGTCCCAGCCCAGAGCTGGTTTAATCTCTGGCTTCTCTCCGACCTGAGTGCCCTCCCCTGGTGCCAGCCTATGCTGATCACCGTCTTCAGCCAAGGGAGCAGTACCCCTCTGGAGTCCTTAAGTGTGATGGAAAGCCCTCCCCTCCACCTCCCTGCTGGTTCCTAGCCAGGCTACCTGTCTTGATGCTAAACTGGGAGAAGCAGAGGTTCCATCCTGGGTTGGGGGTGGAGGGCCAGGGAAGGCAGCTTTCAAAAGACTTTCTTTCCGGGGTTGGGATTAGATTTTGCTATCCGGAAAGCAACGGGGGATTTGAGTAGGGCCTAAGACAAACAGAGGGCCAGGGTGAGGTGGCTGAAGTGTGGTGGAACAGTGGGGTGGCAGACAGGCTCTTCACAGCCCTGCGCCAGGCCAGGCCCCAGCTCCAAAGTCTGTTTATTTTTTCAACCGTTTGAGCTGAGACCCTGGAGTAGAGCCAAGGGGGGCGGGAGAGGTTTTTTGAAACCACGGAAATTTGGTTCCACCCTAAAAAGGAAAGCCATGGGGGAGCCGGTTGGGGGAAGACCTGGCTAGGGGGGTATAGAGAGAGGTTCTGGGGGGGCAGGTAGATACTGGGATCCCTTTGCCATTATTGTGGGGAGCTGGGAGGTCAGACACCTGGGTGTTCATGCTGTTTTTGTTTTTTTGGTGGTGGGGGGACTGGCTCTTTCTACCGTGGGGGCTGGCTGTGTGGGGTGGGTAATTTGGGAATCTGGCTGGCAGCGGGGAGTGGGGGGCTGAGTGGGTGGATCTGAGAGGGCAAAGAGACCACAGGAGGAGGGTGGTTGTCAGTTTGGGCTGGTCGGAAGGGGAGGGCCACCTCCGGAAAACTGTGGTTACAGAAGGGGGAGTTGGTTCTTAGCCAACAAACCCTGGATCCCCTCTCCCCCCTCCCCCCAGCACACCAGCTGTCTCCTTTCTTTTTATACTGTGGTGGGAAGTAGAGGGGCACCCGCTGGAAAAGACATTATTTGAGGAAGATGGTCTCCCCTGCTACCTCCTTGGGGGGATGGGTCACAGCTAAGCCCTAACACCTCAGCCCTTCCCCATTCCTTGCCTCATTCCCTGGGAGCTCCTCCTAGGAGGAGGAATGTAAGTTTAACCTGCCCCTTTCTCTGTCCCATACTCACAGGATCTCTCTGTGTAGCCCCCTCCATGCTTCCTTTTTCTTTCCACTCCATTTCTGTTCTCCCAGGCTGTCTTCAGTCCTCCACCTCCTCAGTTCTCTCTACTCTACTTCCTACCTCCACAAGCCCCAGACCTCACAGGTCCCCTTTCTCTCTTTAGCCCCCTGTTCTTCCCTTTCTCCTTTCCCAAACCCCAACCATCATATCCCTTAGAACAAAGGGTCCTTTTCTGCCAAGCAGGGACCAGAGGTCTAGGGATGGCTGTGGAGGCTGGGGGTCCCCTTGGAATCTCTGTGGTGGGCAGGTGGAGTGGGGAGTGTGCAGAGCGACTATTTCTTTGTTCTGAGGAATGGAGAGGTGGCCGGCTTTGTGTGCAGGACTAGGAGTGCAGCGGAGAGGAGGGTTGGGGGAGCCCAGGAGGGAGCTAAGAGGGCTGACGGTGTTGGAGGAGAGTGGAAGAATAGGGGGTCCTCCTGGTGGTTGAGGCTTCTGGGGACATAGACAAAAATTCTAGGGGTCATGGAGGTTAGGGAGAGAGTTGAGGGGGAGGGGAGAAGTGAGGATGGGGGAAGGGAGTCTAAAGCTTAGGGAAGTCACTGAGTGACTTGCAGGAGGTTAGACAGGGCCTAGAGAAGGACCTGCTGAGGCCGACCAGAGGAGTTACAGTGGGGTCTGATCTCAGCCACTCTGGCTGTGGAATTTGACCTTGGAATCAAGGAGGGGACAGATGTGAATGTGTGCATCCCCTGTGTGCATCTTACTGGTGTGCTGGTGTGTCAGTGTGTTTGTCTGCCTGCCTGCCCTCCTAAGTCTGTGCCCAGATGCTCTGGGCCACTGTTTTGAACAGTGGTCAGCAAAGTAGGGGTTCGTGCTCTCTGGCCATGAGAAAGTAGCTTCATCCTTAGCTTCAGTTTCTGGTTGGAAGTATCGTCTAGGAGCTGAGTGAGCGGATTGGTCAGGATTTCTGAAACTGGTAAGAGAAAAGGCTGAGAGGAGCTGGCTGGACCCTTCCGGGTTTGTTTATGTCTCCTTGGGAGAGGGTGGGGGTGGGGTTGCAGGCAGCAGCTGCCCCCCTCCCAACCCAGCCGGCCTGCCCTGTGCCAGGAGGGCAGGGAGTCCTGGCACAGCTATTGTTCACTTGCACAAATGCCTGTCTGTTTGCATTGCTACCCCCCTCTCTCTCTTTCTGCTTGTCTCTCTCTCCTGGCCTGACAGGTGTGGCCGGGTAGGGGGCAGGCTGGGGTCCAGGACGCTTGGGTCTCAGGGTCCCTAACCTGATTTATTCCCTGTGGCCCTTAGCACCCCTCTTCTGTTTCACCCGTACCCACCCCCATTGCCAGTGTCTCATCTTCATTCACTAAGCAGGCATTTATTAAGTGCCTTTGTGTGTGCAGTGATGTCTTTCTGTGTTGTTTCTGGCTTTGGCATTAGTGTTTCCATTTGGCTGCCTTCCCCTCAGCCTCCTGTCTTCATCTTGTCCCGGGAAGCTCATAAAGGAGCAGGGCCTGGCTGAGACCACCCCAAGCCCTCTTCTCAGTCCCACTGCCAGCAATCCCTCACCTCTTCATTTCCCAGCCCTATAGCTCCTCCTCCAGGACTTAGTGCCCTTCATAGCCAACGGCACCTCTGCTGTCCAGAGGCTGAGCCACAGGTGACTCGAATCCCAGTAGAACACTCCACGGGCTCTCTGGTCACTATTACAGAGGGTGTGGACAGAGGTGTAACCACCTTGGGGAAGGGGCTGCTGCCGGGTGCAGCTGGAGGAGAGGTGATTCTGAGTACTCTGTGACTCTCCCAGAAGTCTTGATTTGGACATACCTGAGAGAGAAGCAAAGGCAGATGAGAGAGCTGGGCACGGTGACTCGCACCCGTAATCCTAGCATTTTGGAAGACCAAGGCAGCCGGATCGCATGAGCTCAGGAGTTTGAGACAAGCCTGGGCAACATAGTGAGCCCTCATCTCTACAAAACTACTAAGTTTTAAAAATCTATTATTACAAAAAGAAAAAGATGAGCGCTGAGGGCCTGCTTGGAGAAGCTCTACCTCGCCTGGGTAGATCTGCCTGGCCTTGCTGCCTGCTGGGAGCACAGGAAGCCAAAGTCCTAGCCTTGGCATTGCCTTCCCCTCCATGTACGTCACTGTTTCCTCATCCCTTAGCCTGGGAGACAAAGTGGAGAGAAGAAGGGAGACTGTGTCTGCCTTTGAGCTTTTCAGTAGAGATCCACAATGCCCTCTGCCATTGCTCCCATCTTTCTTTCTTTCTTTTTTTTTTTTTTTTTTTGAGACAGAGTCTCAAAAAGAGGCTGGAGTGCAGTGGCGCCATCTCGGCTCACTGCAAGCTCTGCCTTCTGGGTTCACGCCATTCTCCTGCCTCAGCCTCCTGAGTAGCTGGGACTACAGGCGCCCGCCACCACGCCTGGCTAATTTTTTGTATTTTTAGTAGAGACTGGGTTTCACCATGTTGGCCAGGATGGTCTCAATCTCCTGACCTCGTGATCCACCCACCTCAGCCTCCCAAAGTGGCTGGGATTACAGGCGTGAGCCACTGCGCCCGGCCTCTTTTTTTTATTTTTTTTTGAGACGGAGTCTCACTCTGTTGCCCAGGCTGGAGTGCAGTTGTGTGATCTTGGCTCGCCGTAACCTCTACCTCCCGGGTTCAAGCAATTCTGCCTCAGCCTCCTAAGTTGTTGGGATTACAGGCACTCACCACCACACCCGGCCAATTTTTGTATTTTTCATAGAGATGGGGTTTTCGTAGAGATGGGGTTTTGACCTGACTGAGGCTGGTCTCAAACCCTTGACCTCAAGTG